GAAAATTAGGAAAATTTGGGTTTGATTTAATTACCAGGTTTTTTACATGGTCAAAATGTTCTAGGAAGCCTGCAAGAAAATTTTTTCAGAAAAAATTTTTTTCTTTGCAAACTGTTAGAATTCTTTTTGCCTAAATTTCTTTTTATCATCTTTTAGTGGAATTATTTGCTTAGACTTTGCTATGAGACCCCTGAAAGAATCTAGATTTCCAAGACTGACACAGTTATTTGTTCATTTTAAACAAATTTGATTAAAACCCATCTTATGTGAATGGCAGCCTCTTCCAAGTACATTGTTGAATGTTACAAACAGAAAGTACTTAATACTTACAAGCTTCTACTAAATTGAATCTGCAGCTCAGGTTTGAAGAACAACTTCTATTCCAGACTAAGCTCTTTATCCTTCAACATTTCAAATGAGAAACTTCAAGAAAGTACATATAATGTATTTCTCTTCTATTGAGCTTACTACTTCTGTTAAAAACTTGTTTGCTTTTTTCCTCACAATTAGATTTTTTCGTATCTTTGCCTGACAGGCTAAGGAAACCTGTAAGTATTTTGCCTGTGCGAGTATACTTGTAAAACCATTCAGTCATCTTTGAAACTTCTTTATCAGATGCTTTTTGGAACACATTTTAAAAAATTTAATTGTCATATCATAACAAATACATGACAAAATGTATATTATGTGTATTAGCCTTTTTATCTAGTCACACTTGTATGGATCAAATGGTTAAAAGTAAGGAACAACATACGATTCTACTCAAGGATTTTGGCACCACATGTAAATCTATGTAAATTCTAAGCCTAAAATTTAACAAGCCATACCCCAGGAACTCAAATGCAATGTAGCTTTACTACTGCCACGATGGAATGGGATACAAAGACTGACTGCATCAGATGCTATCTACTCTCTCAGCAACTATATGCTCTCATAAGTTAAATCAGTACTATTAAAAACTGCTTTGCATGTACTTATATGTAGAAGTTTTAACCTACCCGTTAATGGAACCTCCCTGAGCAATTCCCCCAGCATGAAAGTGTAAGAGTCTCCTCAAGCTAAAACAGTTGGACTAGTTGCTGTAAAATTTTTGCTAAAAGCCTCATTTGAGCCACTTTAACAGTAATAATGAAGCTCAGTTCTGTTATCTCATCAGCACAAAATTTTAACTCTCAACTTTATCTATTGGTCATAGCTTGAAGACTAAGAAAATTTACACGAGTGTAATTCTCCAGTTTGGGATGATGGTGAAGTTTTCCTCTTCTACATGAGTTTCTTTTACACTAAAGCTAACAAAAATTTCATAGTGCGAGACAAAATCAGGTTCCACTTTGTATTTCTTGGCAAAGGCTTCAGTGAATATCTATCAAGAAAAAAGGTTACTGATACCAGTCTCTCTAAATCGGGGGAGCAATTTTAATATTAGAAAGAGAAAAAATAAGTTAAAGAGAGAATGGTACAGGAGACCACAAACTGACATTTTATTCTCCCAAGTAAATTACCAAGCAGAAAAAATAATTTAAACCAAGCAACTACAGCAAACGAGTATTGTCTTCATATACAGACTGTTTTCATCACACTAATCTACTTCTGTTCAGTCCAATACACTTTACTTCCATTATGTTCCTGTACCCCATCCTTTTTCCCTCCTGAGCTGCATCTGCTTTCTTGTTTTCTCATCTCCAAGAAATCTCTCGGTTATCTGATTACTTTTTCATCTGGACAACTGTCATCATGCAGCCAGTCCTCCTTCTGGGACTTCGTTAAGTACATCTCTGATCCACTTTTCCTATTGATGACTGGTAGCTGTACCACGATGGGTGGCTTCCAGTCTCTCGCCTGTCTACCACTGACCCCCAGTGGTTACAACTGTATTTGCTCTGTCTCACTGTTTTCAAACTGCGGCTGCTTCTACGGAATGAAGCTTGGATCATGCTAGGACACCTGGAAGCAAACAAGACCCAGCATTGTATGAATACTGTTTCATGGCCACTGAGCACAGAATCAAAGAATAATTTAGGTAGAAAGGAGCCTCTGGAAGTCACCCGGTTCAATAACACCTGCTTGGAGCAGGAGCTCAGATTGCTCAGGACTTTATTCAGCTAGATAGAAATTCCACAGACTCCGGGCAATCTGTTCCAATGTCTGTTACTCTCATTAAGAAAACATTTTTCCCAATATTTAATTAGAATTTCCCTTGTTACAACTTGTGTTCAAATCAAACTGGCTCAGTTACACATGCAAAAGAAAGGAAGAGGAGGAAAAGGCAGCTATTCTCAGTGAAGAGAATCCCTCTCGAGACACTGTCCAATCTCCCTGGCAAAGGGAAATGTTTTGTTATGTAAGCCTTATCTCCACATATCTATACCTTTGTGTAGTGGTGGAAAGAGATCAGGTCCTGATTACAGCATAATTCTACTTCCAAGAAAGAAAGTTGCAAACAAAAGCAAACCCCAAAAGGTCACCTCAGGAATAAGAGAACTTGTCAATTTACAAAATCTCACCTAGTTTTTTCTTTAGACTTTGTTATGCAGAATGCAAAGCTCTCAGATGAGCACTTACAGATAAGTATTCTTTTTACAACAATGCACATTTTACTGTTTGAAGAGACCTAGCCTATTCTATTTTTAACATTAAATCTTTATTTGGAAGATAATCTAATGAAATTTAAGCATTTATATAATGTGATTTTAAGATAACCATTATTTAAATAATTGCTGATCAAGCACATATAGTTTCAAAGAACAAAAAAATCCTACTGCCTATGACAAAATGCCAATTAATAGAATTATCCAAATTGAATTCCAGACAGATTGCCTATCATTTTTTCCCAAGACTACTGATTCAAACATTAAAGCAAACATTCATCTTAAAGTTTTCTGTGCATGTCACACTTTCAGCTCTACCCAGATATTAAGTAAAAATCAATGATTTCATCATTAAAGCAGTACACATAATAAAAATATACCTGAATGCAGAATATTTGGTAAGATTTGAGCTGTCTTCAATGTTCCATAGGTTTGTATTGATTTTAGGGCTAGTCTAACATTCAGCATGCCAGTAACAATGAATAAGCCTAATGCATTACGTAAGTCTAAGCTGATTAAATCCTTGATCCTGAAGCCACCTCTTTTTCCCCCTCCCCCTCCGATTTAAAACTTGGCACAATTGAAAATCTTAGTTTTATACACTTTCAAAACTTAATTTGTACCATTTTTGGCACAAAACACACTACAACTGACACTAATATAACCCAGTCAGGTTTTAGTCTTTCTTGTGTTTTAATGGTTTCCTAAACCTGGTAAAAGTCCATTTTAAAGTGATGAGTTCCCTAATAAATTTTAATTTTGTGGCCAAACTTCTGGGTTTTTTTAAAAATATATATTGAATGGCACAAAGGTAGCAGTGTTATGCAAGTTACCAGGTCTGAGCTTTACCAATAAAAATTAACAGCAAATTGAACTAAATACAAAGCCATGATATCATAAACTTTACTGCTGCCAAGAAGTAAGATTATAAAGCATACTGCACATGTCAGTCCTAGTTTCCAAAGATATTATGTCTCAAATGAAGTATATGTGCTACGACTTACATGGAGGAATAGACCAGGGAGGTCATGAAAGAGTTATGTTCTGCTAGCACATTATAGCGCTATGATCTCACTACATTGTCAGTGTGACAATGGAAGCAGGATAAACGGATCCGTGCAGCAGAGGCTATCAGCTAGTGTTCTCTACAGAAAAGGAACGTAGAAAGCAATACATGATTAACTGTTTTGAATAGGGAAAAAAATTCCTTCCACTAGGCCCACATGCCATACACAAAACAAGCTGCTAAGAGCTGCAAACTGACTGAACAACTGTGTTGCTGCATACTGAAGAGAGAGTGAATGTGTGAGTGTGTGTGAGACTTAGATGCCAATTATCAGGCAATATACAAGCACAGAATTGTTTAATTTGCACAATTATGTTTAACTTTTTAGTTCTTTTTTATTTTAAGACATCTCAGCTTGAAAAACCTGATTTGCTTGCTTTTAAACTTTTTAAGCATTATTTTACCCTTAGAAAGAGCCCTATGCATATTTAGAAATTGACAGTGCTTCTCAGAGACAATACAACTATGAGTTGGTGAGCTCTAATCTTTTTACTGAAATTTAAAAATGTTTAAAAATAGTCAACTATAGCTATAATACCTCAGTAAAGGCAGCAGAATGGCCCTGAGCAAATGAGAACTGAATATGCTCTGTAGAGCCTTCATTAGTATTGAGGATGAGAAGAGAGAGAAGAAAGTAAAGTGAGTTTCAGCTCAGGAGTAGAAGGTTTTTAAGCCATGGTAATTTTGAAAAAGACGTAATACGTTTTACTTGTAAAAGAGAGAATGTTCAAGCCAGTATTCACTGAATGCCACCAAACAGGTTGCCTATGCTATGTAATATGTATTTTAAATTAGAAACCTAGTAATATTTTAGTAAAAAAAATACATAGAAATGAACCAAGTGCATAAAAAAACAGTATAAAGAGGTGTCTCTGAGGGTTATGCAACCTCTTCTACCAGCATCTGAAAACATCCCAATCCATTTTCATCTTTTAACATATGAGGCTATGTCATGAATCAATACCAGTGAGATAAATCAAACAAGAAAAGATGTCTGGACAGGCAATACTAGTATGAAAGAATAATGTAGCTGTTTTTTTTCTTCACACAGGATGAATAAGACAGAGGAAGACAGATTAGAAAATGTTGTAATTAATAAGACTCCTGGGGCTTCTCACATCACAGAAGTGAATTTCTTTCTAGACTGAAAACTTAGAGTTCATGAAAAAAGCCATATTCTCCCATTTACTTTATAACAAAAAATAAACAACAAAAAAATCAAAACAGAACAAGATCGACACATTTTCCACCAGTTCCCACCGTAACAGATCTTGAAAACCAAGAATTTTAAAAGCATCAAATATTTGAGTGGAATTGATCCAAAACTGTTAGGATTTATTACATACCCCATTCTCTGTACGTTTCTCCACAGGTATATTTATGCCATTTCTTTGATTTTGGGCTTGACGTCCACCTAAAAGTAAAGTATCACTCTTAGTGCAACGTTCAGTTTTCAACACAAATGGTTTTCATTCTTGAATCTGTTCTTTTCAAGAATTTTTATATAAAGCTTTCACCTGTGAATTTTTATTCTGCTAGTTCCAACTCTTTTTTATTAGGTTATTTTTTGTAAGCAGTGAAGTCAGCAGAAATAAAACATTTACTTCACAGACTTCCTCTGTTAAAAGCACAGACATGCAGCTCTAACTCTTCTGACTTGTGTTTAGGCAACGATGCCATGAAAGGGAATGTACTGAGCGTGACTACTGAAGTTTCATATTTCTGCGTCCGCAAGAAGCAGTAGTTTCAGTTGAATATATTATAAATGAATATAGTAGAGGAAGCTTTTCCAATGCCTTATAAACAACTTTAATCTACAAATTGATCCATAGGTCAATGATTAATTAAAAAGCCTTGCATGCATGGTTCAGAAGTGACATTTTCTTTGTACATGAAACTCTGGGGCTTCAGGTGTATCTTAAATTTCTTAACATACTTTAAATTTGTATTGCCCAAAGGATGACTGAGTATTTTACAAAGTACCTAATTAATACAAAAATCCCTCATACATTATTGGGTCTGCTACTTCTGGCATTCAAAGCAAGCAGCAACCACTTAGAAACACGAAAAGAAATCCCAGCTCAAAGCAACAAGGACTCAGCCAAGACTTGAAATTCGGTTGTCAGAAGTAGTCAGATTAGTTGAATGAGCAAGGATAATCTGAGCATGCAAATATACATCTCACTTCGAGATACCCTTCCTATCCTTCGAACAGTCTGACAGCCATTAAGTATACAATGCACAGCCTCAAAAGTCTTTTCATAAATTAAGTAGAGTTTATACTAGTTAGATCAGAAAACTGAAATCCTTCTATTTTTTTCGTTCCGGTCTTTTAAGAAAGCCCCGCTTAATATGGCACTATTTTATATAAACACTTTTTCTGTAGAACCAAGCAGACCAGCGATTTTTCAATGTGCAAATTATCACCACTATTAAATATATCTACATGAAGTACTGAGGAAGTAAAGCCACTGAGACCTCTGCCAATGATGTCTGTAAAATAGATTTTAGTTTCTAAAGGAGGCAAAGTAGTTTACTGAGTCTCTTCTCTGGGGCAACTGAAAGAGAACAGGATGTCAAAAAGAACAATCCCACACCCCACCCTCTCAAACTGTAGGGACATTCTCTCAACCAGAAAAAAAAGCATTAAGCCTCTAATACCCACCAACATTTTTGAATCAGTATTAAGCAGAATAGAAACCAATCTTACTGCAAAACTATTATTCAACAGACTGGTGGAAATTATTCTAGAGAAGGGCATTTGAGAACATGAATAAACGTGCCACTGAGGAAGGTTCAAAACAGCTTTGGTATAAGGAAGTTGTATTACATGTATCTACTGAAGGTCACTGAAAGAACTGATAATCAAACCCACTTCAGAAATGTTTTAAATATGTTTAGGTAACAATGCTACAGGATAAGTGTACTTACTCTGTTCATTACTTTCGGCTGGTGACTCCTCATGACGAAGAAAAAATTTTACCTCTTCCCTACGAGGACCCCATTTCTGTAGGTGGTCATACATCATGTGATCAAAGGGTATGGGACGCTCTAAAAGTAAAAGACCAAAAAACTTATCACAACTATTTTAAATTAAGTAAAGTTTTATAGAACTCTCATTAAGAATCATTAAGTCTTTTGTGGTAGTAAATCAATCTATTCAATGTATTTTATGCAAACTCAAAGAAACAGGCACCAACAGACAATAGTTGCACTGCATTAAAAGCTAGCCTGTTACTGTAACATAGCTCACTGCTTAACAGCAGTACATAACCTGTTTGCAAAACCATACAAAAAATATCAGTGTTTAGAAACCCTAATTTAGGAATTCTTCATCATAACCTTTTTCACAGTGCTGATCTTTGCCCCTTTGCTCCCCATGACCACCAGATGGATATTTTGTTCTAGTATTAAAATGATTCATTCAATCTGAACCTCCGGGTTTCCACTCAGACTACAAGCTTTATCATTATATTGACATTTCATGCCCTAAGAACTTGAGCAGGTGCTCCCACCCCAATACACTATGCCAGACACTAACTTCCAGAATATGTGGAATTACTGGCAAATCTTTGAACAAATAAAGGCTAAGTTCTGTGCAGCGTCAGTCTCTTTGTTTTCCCCCAAAGAAATGTAAAACATTCTCATGGAGTAGTTATTTCTTCCAAATTGATCAAATATATTATTACTGAGAGGCTGCACACATTTAGTATTTCAAAATGAAAATACATTTCGAAAGCAAAGTTGTCACTGTTTCCATAATTATATTTGCATTTATTTTTAAATGTTTTCATTAAGGTAAGAAAATCTCCCTTTTAAGACCTTTTAAGATCTAATACTAAGCATAGTATTAGAAGATATCTTCTAATCAGAATAAAATTATACTAGAAGAGATTTAGTTAGCTTTCCTACATGCAGCACCATGTCAAACCAATACTCCTACAAAAAATCAGGCTTGGATGGAAACGAAAAGGTGGAGTTTGCATTCTTCATTGTTAAAAGCAAAATGCTGTCTGCCCCCAAAACCCAAACCACAGTATCTCCTACCAGGCAGAGCACCGCTAACAATTTGTTATCAATTTCATACTTAACCCATTTGACATGAGAAGACAAAATGATTCAAAGATATAACAGGTATCTTGGGGAAAGCTTGGGAAAACCACATCACAAATACACCTTTTTATAATGAAATTTACCTAAATTTATATGCATTATGAACTATATAAACGTATACATGTCTTGATACTCTTGGGATACTTAATTGTAGTATTTAAAGAACAATATACTTTCATCACTTGATTCACAATGCATTTAATACAATAAAGCGTCTTGTCAAAATCTGTCACGTCAAGTAGGTATAGTGATTAACACAGTTCAGCCACTGTTAGATCTAGCTGCTTTCAATGGGGAAAAGTAATTTAAACCACAAGCTTATTATATTCATCAGCTGACTGGTCACGTATCTTCCTAAACTCCCCCCCCTCCCTCCTCCTTCCCTTCCC